CACAATAATAAATCACATACATGGCAATATGCATTCAAAATGATTAGAGAGAATATTTAAAAAGAAGGTAAATTATGAGGTAACAAGTGTTTAATCATTTCTGTATCCCTTCGTCATTATTATCGATATTAATTACTATTGAAATCAGGCAATTACTGGTAAAAATTTTTTGTTCAAGTTCAGTTTAAAAGATCATGCAAGTCATATCGAAGTGGCTGCTTGATACTTGGGCTGATGAAGTAAAGTTAAATCAGTTGTTATTTACAAGATGTAAGAAATGAAGTACAAGTACAAGTACAGAGTGGTTAGGTACCACATTTTTTGGGGGAAATCATATCAATTTGTTTCTCAGCAAATGCTGCAAGATACAAAAAAATTTCAAATAAGCTAATAAAAATTTCTACCCAACATAATCTGGTTAGCACAATATCACAACATCAAGTTTCAATGAAACGTGACACAGGAGATATCTGAGGGACAGCAAAGAACTAGATAATTTATGTAAATTAGGTAATTAGTATGCGTGAATTTCAACAAAGAGCACCTGTATGCCAACATTTATTTAAACCTGTTAAGTGGATTATAAAATATTAGTTGAAAGACTGGAAATTAATATTTAAACAAATTCAACCAAACACCACCTAGGTCTTTCCAGAGAAATATCCATGGAACGCACATACATGTATGTACAGACACAGATGGACTCGCTGTGTGCTTTGAATGCAGGAGACAAAACCAATAATGCACTTAACACACTTTGTGCTCTATATACAAATGTATGTGCTTTATTGTGCTTTTGTCCGTTATTGTTTATTATAATTACATCGATAAAATAATAAAAACAAAATATTGATAAACTTACAGGTTTGGGAAACTTTGATGCGTTTTGTTGTACAATTTTGCCAGCTTGTACCGCTGCACGGCCTACAGAGACAAAATATGCCACAGGATTGCTTTTTAAAATAATACTATGGAATTATGTTTGTGTGAATAAGAAGTGAATATGACATCCAGGTATTGTTGTTACTGTGATATAATGAACAACCTCTACGTCCTCTTACACATGGGAAGAATGACTCACTGTGATACTTCATCAGTAATAACAAATCAAACAAGAAAACCATGAGAGATGGCAGATCCTCGTTATTTTCATTATGATTGGTTTGAGCATTTGTGTAGATTGTAATAAAAGTTGGTATATTCTGCTTTTAGTAACTGGGAATAAGTCAATAATGTGGTGTGCCAAAAATGTTGAGCTAAGTTATTGTTATTAAGTTATTGACCATTTCAGTCCAGAGTACAAAATGTACTTGTTGCTAGAAGGGGAGAAGGAGAAAGTACAACACAGATGTAGGTAAATAGTCAAAACTAAAAGACAATTTTTGAGTTTCTTCCGATATGACTATGAATGATTGTTGCTACTATATCATGGCAGAGGAGACTAAATAAAGGTAAGCATTGGTTGAACATCTATATCTCAATTATGTTCAAGATATTATAATTATGCATATTTAATGAGGTCATGTGACTATATATAGACCCAGTCCAGTGGCTCAAATAAAATGACTATGAATCAGTGTCCAAGTTTGATGGTGATTGACTAAGGCATGTCCAAGAAACATCATGAAACGCTCAAATGGAACAATGTAATGAAATTCTATAAATAAGTGCTCTTGTTGTTTCTTCAATATAAGCAGACATAAACTCATTGCTTTCATCACATGAATCAGCCATCAGACATCCATGCCCAATTATTATTAATGGCACAGTCACATAATGTTAAAGCAAAGAGACAGACTCACCGACAACTGCAACAGCTGCCAGACCTAACCCAGCCAATATAAGCCCAGTTGACTGAAATTGAAAGTACCCTGTTTATTATAATATCAAAATGTAAAATAATGATCATAGTTACAAATACTATATCGGCTGTATTAGAAGTACATCTCTATTAAATGCACACATAAACCCCAAATTCCATGAACTACTGGTATATGCTAAATCATATATTGACCATTTACTAATGATAACTAATCTCTGTCATTTACATAAGTGCAAACTTTTATTAATTATATACCATATATAAAAAATATTTTTTTAAATTCAGTCTCTCGTTTCCTTGGCTATTATCGCGTTTTTTTGTCACCATAAAGACTTACATTGCAAATTTTGGTTCCTCAGGCGTCTCTAATAAATAACCCATCTAACCACTGGACTGAATTAAATATGTTATCAAAAAAAAACATTTTTGATATTTTTGGTTCATAAACGCAAGAACGGTAAGATGCGATTCTCAAAGGCGCAAGTCATTTGGATCAGACTGTTTTTTTGTTTTGAATTCGCTGTGAGTCTAGAAACACAGCAATACAAACAAACCATTAATATCATCCAAATTTTTAATCCAATCTGGATTCGTTAAAAATGAGGCAAAATACTCCACATTGTGTTAAAAAATCATCGTCAATAATCGGAAAATTTCATCATTACGACACATCATATTGATTGGTTAATGAAAGACATGACCTGTTATGTCAAAGGAAGTTGTTCCAGGTCAAATCATGCTGAAAAACCTCATGATGGAAAATTGCTTTGCGTCAAGAGTTTGCGTAAGATCGAAAACATACCAAAACGAAGATAATGATAAATGCCTTCGTCCACTGTTTCCTCACAGACCCTACCCATTATTTCACCGTAAATTCAGACGGTATGTAAATCGTATTGTACGGTATACTGTGAAGATTCAGATCAGTCCAGTGTGAGTGATGAGAGTATATCGTCGACGATGCCCCCTTGTTCGGATGATAG